ACCACTGTGGGTTAGCGATGCCAAAATAATGCTGACAGTAATAATGTCCAACATCTTCAGCCTCCACACTGCTGATTGTGAGAGTAAAATCTGTCCCAGACCCACTGCCACTGAAGCAGGCAGGGGTCCCCGAGGGCAGAGTGGAAGCATCATAGATCAGGAGCTTGGGAGAACATCTTGGGGGCTGCTGCTACCAGGCTAACTCTCTGTTAATACCCTGACTGGCTCTGCAGCTGATGGTGACTCTCTCTCCCACAGTCACAGACAGGGAAGCTAGAGACTGGGTCAGCAAAATGGCTGCACTGGACCCTTGGGTGGAGAAAAGAAATAGACTGAAATCAAGGAGCATGTCCTGTAGTGTATGCTCTGACTGACTTGAGATGTCCTTCCCACTGACTATAGGAACAAGCCCCTCATCACCCTTTCCAGTCCTTCATCATCCTCCCCTACCCCAATCCATCTTCAATTTCCAAGTTTTGGAATCTCCTGATACAGCTCAAGTGCACACTTGTCAAGTTGTTAACACCCACAGCTCATCTTACCCTGGTCCCGGAGCACCAGGAGCCAGAGGAACCAGGATGGGGAGATCATTGTTTCTCTTGTAGACCTTCAGCCTTGAGACCTCTGAGGCCAGGGTGAGACCTGAGATATCAGACACTTGACGCTTACTGGCTGTGCAACCCTGGCCAAATCGCATAAACCCACTTGCCTCTCACACAAAAAATAATAAATAAAAATAAAGTCATCTTTCTTCACAATGCTATTGTAATTATATTTTGTCATTGTATAGATCATTCTCCTTATTTTGCTCAACTCATTCTGAATCAGTTCATACAAGTCTTCCCAAGATGATCGAAACGCATCCATTTCACCATTTCTGAGGGCACAGTAACATTCCATTCCATTCACACACCACAATCTGTTTGGCCATCCCCCAATTGATGAGCAGCTGCTTATTGTCCAGTTCTTTGTTATTTCTACAAAGTGGATATATGTAAATGCTTATTTTGGGGTGCAAAATATTATCTTCAAAATTATAGGATGAAAGAGCCATGTTAGAAAGATGCTTGAAAAAAGTCTAGCAGAACTAATGGACTGAATCTCAATATGAGTTGTCAATATTTAATGTGGCACCCAAAAAAGCCAATGGAGATTTGGGCTGCAAAATAAGGGTCTAACTTCCAGGTATAAGGAGCTGGTCTTTTTTCTGTACTTTGCCCTCTTCAGATCTCATCTGGAGTAATGTGTTCAGTTCTGGGATTCCTGCTTTGCAAAGGGCATTGATAAACTAGAGCTTATCTAGAGAACAGTAATTGGATTGGTGAAGGACCTTGAGTCCATATCTTTGAGGCTCACTTGAAGAAACTTGGGATACTTAACCTTTGGGCAAGTGAAGACCCAAGGAGAACACGAAAGCTATGTTCAAATATTTCAAGGGCTGTCCATTAGAAGAGGGTTATTTAACCATGTAGTACTTGTTCTGATAAGCTAGAAGCCTTCCTAATTAGATAACATGTGAAGCAAGGATGCCCATTATTAACACTGTTATTCAATCTTGTACTAAAAATACTAGCTATACCAATAAGATATGAAAAAGAAATTGAAGGAATTACAATAAACAATGAAGAAACACAACCACCACCTTTTGCAGATGATAGAATACTAGAGAACTAACTAAAAAACCAGTTCAAATATCTCAGTAATGCTGCAGGATGTAAAAACATTTGTCCTGAAAGGATAGAATTGGATGGGGAAATATGGAAGTTACAAAGATACAAATGCAGGTTATGTTGAGGGATGTTTATAGTAGAGGTTACATTCAGTTATGGTTCAAAACTGATGACTGATAATTCTTAAATTCTGTGATTCTGGTTATTTTTGGAAATGATCTGACTTTACCTTTCTTCATATTAAATTTAAATTTAAATTTTAACTCATTTTATTTGGATCAGTGTTCTAGCCAGTCAAGATCTTCTTTTTTTTTTTTTTTTTTTTGGATATTGACTATCATCCAGTGTGTTAGTACCTTTCCCAGCTGCATAGAATCTGTAAGTCTGATTCATTTGCCATCAATACCTTTATCTAAGTCTTGGAATAAAATGTTAGATAGCAGAGGACCAAGCACAGATGCTCTAGGTCCTCTACTTGACACATCCTTTGGAAGCTGTCACCATCAATGACTTTGCATTGAGTCTAGCAATTAACCAGTTTCTTAATGCAGATGACTCTCTGGTCTTTTACCTCTCTTTTCTCCATCTTGTCAAAAAAGAGAGCATGAGAAGCTTTTTCAAAGGCTTTCCTGAAAGAAATGTAACCTCTAATGGAGCATTATCTTGATGAATGAACTCTGTGAAACTCCATCCAAAGGAAATGAGATTTGTCTGACTTTCAATGTCATCTTACTGTTGTGTACTGGGAGAGGTCAGTTGACCTCTGGTGGTATCTCTCCACCCTATCTTCTGACAGAGCTCTCACAGGGATTGAGTTTGACCCTTGATGTCATTTATTTAGCAGGAGAAAGAGAAGGAGAGAGTGGAGGGAGTGAATGGGACTATTCTACTAGCTGGGGCCAGGATAATGGTAGGCTCCAGTGTGACTCTAAACTTCATCCCAATGGGGCAGAGAAGGGAGACTGAGATCACTGGTCCTCTGCAGCTGAAAATAGCCTAATTAACCAGCATAGGCTTGAGGTTTTGCCCCCCAACACAGATGCAAACACTTCAAACTTAAAATGTTAGATGGTTTAGGGAGAAAGGAATGAAACAGAAATTGGAACAACGCTCAGAATTCCTCAAATAACCACAACTGAATAAGAGACAACTTTTTAATTAGTGAATTACTGGGCAGAGGTGACTGGAGGGTTCTGGTGGTTCTTTGCTAGGGTGTGACAGTGAATTAAACACTTCTAACACAGGAGGCACTGGAGTTTTTAGGCTTCAGCCTCTGACAGCTTCACTCTTGATCTGGGCAGCCACAAGGATAGGAAAATAGCTTTGGATGGGTTAAACAAGCTTCCTTTATTCTAGTCTAGTCTTCTCAGAAGGGCTGCTGATAATAGGAGCACCAACTCCTACAGCATTCCCTAATCACTCTTCTCCCAGGGGCTGGCAAGAAGAGGGGCCAATAATCCCTACATCTTAATGAAGGTCAATCGAGACAGCATAGCATTCCAGCTTGTGCACTCCCCTAAATCCTCCCAAGCCTCAATGGGGGCCGGTTGAGGTAGACACAGCATTACACTGTCACATTCCCAAAATCCCCATTCACTGACCAGTGCTCTCTTGATTTATAGAGAAGCAAACAAAGAAGGCAATTTGCCAACATTAAGCTCATAGGCTAATTTTAGCAATATTGTCATGACTTAGCACAGCACAAGCATAATAATTATTATATCACCCCTATATCTTGCCATGCAGTCACCAGCATGATCATGGGAATTGTTATCTATTTTGGCCATGGATGCTGGGTCCTATTATCTAAAAAAGAATAACACAATCCTCCTTACTTACACCTCTCATCAAAGGCCCTCATCTGATGCACAAGTTTCTAACTTGCTTGGCCCTAACTGAACCTGTGACCTCTTTGGGGATCCCAGAGGGTTTCAAGAGCATCAGAGAGAAGGACTATTGATATCTGCTTACTCTGGTCCCCGGGCTCTTTTTTTTTTTTTTTTTTTTTTTTTAGCCAAAGACTAGAACATGTCATATTGGGCAGACTCTTAAGGAGTCTGAACATTAGTAAACTATTGGCTAGATTATAAGAATCTGAGCAGTGGCTAAATTTTTAAGAATCTAAGCATCTTAATAAAGACAAGATGGACCTTACACACAAAAAGACTGTGGGAAGGATCTAGAAGTGGCCAAGTAGTTTGGGGTCACTGGAGGCTGGGGGGGGGGTCTAAGGCGATCTGGATGGGAGTGGCCAGTAAGCTGGGGTGAACAGAACTCCTGGAACCTGGATCATTGGCCAAGGAATAATGGAGCCTAGCTAAGATTAAGTGAAGGAAATGGCCTGGGGGGGGGGGGCATAGGGAGGTAAGCTAATGGAGGGCTAGGCTAGGTTAAGGGTACCAGAATTGGGAGATCGGGTGTAGCCACCACAATGAAAGGCCAGGTGATGGGATTATGGCCTCAGGTGAACGCCAGAGATTTGGCCAAGTGGGAAAGTCCAGGATTTTTCCTTTCTGGGGTCTAGATCCCATCCTCATCAAGCTGAAGAAGTAAATGGCAAACCACTCCAGTATCTTTGCCAAAAAAAACCTCCAAAACCCAAATGGGTTGACACAGAGACAGGCGGGAACATTTCCCGTTGTCCTTCAAGCCCGTCCTCGTCTGGGACCACGCCTGCTACCCTGGGTGAAATTTCTTGAGTTCATCTGACAGTTAAAGGGGTCGGAACCAGCCCTGTGATTTCACAGGCACAGGAAGCGACCCTCCCACCCCCAAAGCGGCTCAGCTCGCCGGGCCAGGGCTCCTTCAGCATAGGCAGGCAAGGTGACCCTGCACGCTAAAGCCAAGTCTTCCTGGTCACTAAAGGAGAAGCTGCATCCCAGCATTTGGCTCCTGCGCCTTATTTTAATTTTCTGCGGGTCTTTATGTTTCAGTTGTTTCTAGTAAAAATAAAATGTCTCCCTTCTAAAAAATTTTTTAATGTTTTCCTAATTTAAAATGCAAGCTCCTACACCGAGGTGCATAGCACTCTCACCGGTAAAGAAGGGGTTGACGCATGCCCAGAAAACCTAGGGTGGAGTCACCCAGCCGGGGTCCCCGGTCACCGGGAGACGGACGTACCACGTGGTGGAAGCAGCCTCTTTCTATTGGCTGCGAGCCGAAACTGCCAGCGTCTTTTAATCTACTCCTTACTTAGAGATTTCTTCATTTAAAAAAAAAAGAATCACTCAGTATCACATGACCCACTCCAAAATTAAAAACAAAACAAAACAAAACCAACAACAACCTTCCCTTCTCACAAGTAAACCTAAAGCTGCCTACTCCAACGAGATGTGGTCTGTCAATTCTGTCAAGAATTACCGAGCAATGAGCGAGCCCGCAGAACGGCCATTTTCCATCCTCGCTTCCAAGACCAACGACTACGCGGTCCGGCCTTACCGAACGCTGATTGGACGGGTCCTGGTGAATTGTGGGAAATGTAGTTCAGGGCGAGCTCTGCGCACTCTCAGTTCTTGAAGTGAGGCAGAGGAAGGGTTTGATTATTCCTGCTTTTAGTTCTTGGCGGGCCTTTGTGCTGGTGGGTGAGTCAGGGGGTGTGTGTATGTATGTGTCTGTGTGCATGTGTGTCTTTGTGAAGGGATGTGTGCGTTTGTGTCTGTGTGTGCAGGGGTGTGCGCGTGCATGTATGTAGAGCTGTGCAGGTGTGTGTGCAAGGTGTGCGCAGGGATGTCCCTGTGTGCAGGTGCTGTGTAGGCGTGTATGTATGTGTGCAGGTGTGCGTGCATGCGTGCGTGCATGCGTGCCTGGTGTGTGCGTAGTGTTGGGGAGCTATGGGGGGCTCCTCCTGGGACTGGGGGAGGGGGGAGGAGTGGGGGGTGTCAACGCTGGAAGTGTGAGGCTGGGAATTTGAACCCAAGACCTGGCACCCCAAACGAGTGTGCACTGAAGAGAGCAAGAGGAGACAACCAACATGTAAGACTCACATGTCCAGTGCAGGGTATCTTTGACAGCTGGCTGGAGTAGGGAGGTTTCTGGGATTCTTATTCTCTGATTCTTTGTCCCAGATTAAAGTGGACAGAGACCCCTTCCAGCTTTCCCCTCTTTGCACAGGAAAAGGTCCATCTTTGACGTGTGTTAAGAATGCTCTTTCACTTTTTGGGGGGCTCCAGAGTAGTTATTGGTAGGGAAGCAAGGTGTTACCTGTTACCACTACTTCCAGATTTATTCTTTGGGGGTTTTGAGCATTGTAATTGGTTGATGGGACAAAGGAGAGAAAAAGGAAATGGGGAGAGAATCTGACTGATGCCAGGGCTGACTTTGGTCCGGTCCTTAGAGAGAGGACCTGGTCTGGACTTCTTAGAAACTCCCTCTTGCTCAGCTCATCGTGAGCAGATAGAGAAAACAAAGAAGTTAGTTTATTCACAGCCTGAATTTCTGGTGGATTCTTAACTATCTGGTCTCTAAAGCATACAGTTGATGCAGTTAAGATCTATAAAGGATGATAGGAGTGTGTGTGTGTGTGTGTGTAAAATTGCACTCTGTTAGTTTGGGAACTACCAGGTAGGACCAGTCTCCTTCCTGACTTCCTTCTTATCCTTCAGGTCTGGCTTTTCGATATTCTGCTGTTCCCCGAGAAGGTGAAAGGAGGAGAAGGGAAATGACTTCTGTGCTCCTAACAGCCAGGTCCCAGGTGAGTGAAAGACTTTCTCTTTCCTGAAATGCCATCCCTTTTCTCAAGGTGTGGACACTATTCTTTGCCTTGTCTTCTGTCTTCTGTGTCAGGGAGCCAACTCATTTTTGTACTCCCAAAGGCTTTGTCAATTTTGACAGACAATATAGTGTTCATAGATTTTTTGATCCAGAAGGGAGGTAATCCAGTCTCCTAAGTTTGTAATTCACGAAACCTTATCCTTCAGCAGTTTTCTGCTGAAGGTAGGAGTGGGTTTACTCTATAAGGTAGTAGCAGTATTGTCCAGTATTCATCAATTGATTTAGAGCTGGAAGGAACATTGCATGTCAGTTAATTATCTAGTCCAACTGCTTCATGTAACAGATGAGGAAACAGGACAGAAGAGGCTGAGATGGTTTGCCAAAGGTCACATGGTAACTGGTGGAGTCAGAATTTGAATTTAGGCCCTCTACTACTAGCCATGCTTTATATTGCCATTTAAAATGATTTTTACTCATGTGTTGTAGCAATTGTGTATATTACTCTTATGACTTCTCTTTGTTCACTCTATACTACTTCTTATAAATCTTCCTCTCTTTCTTTGAAATCTTCCTATTTGTCATTCCTTACATCACAGTAACCAGTCAGTTGTTTGGAAATACCATTGCCTTTTTTTTTTTTTCTGTTGCAGATATCACTGCTACAATTTTTCTTGCATACAGGTTTTTTCATTTTGTCAGTAAGTTCTCTGAGGGTAAAAAACAAATGAGCAAACAAACCAATTGGGGCACCAGCCAGCTGGGTCAGAGAGTGTGAAGAGCTTTGTAACTTTTCTTGTGGAATTCCAAAGTATTTTCTAATGTGGTTGGACCAACTTGCAGCTCTCAGGCCAGGGAATGTTTGCCGATATTTTTGAATCCCCTCAGACACTGAATTGTTCCATCTTTGGCAGTTTGCTAGGTGTGAATGGAAAGGGCAGAGTTTGCATTTGTCTGATATCAGCCCGAACAAGCTGGTACTTTTTGGGTGGTTCTTGAATATCTGCGTTAAATCTTCTAGAATTTCTTGCTGATATCCTTTACCACTTCTCTACTGGAGACAGGGGATTTGGATGAATTCTCTGTAGACTTTATATGTCAGAATTTTATCATCTACTCTGCAAAGAGATTTTCTCATCTGTATCTTTATTTAGGATCAGAGATCTTGAGCTCAAAGGGACCTCAGAGGGCATGCTGTCCAAACCTCTCAATTTGCAGTTGAGGAAACTGAGGCCCAGGGAGAATAAAGATGTCCAAGATCACACAGATATCATCAGCCTCAGAGGTGGAATTTGAGCCCACGTGTTTGACTCCAGAGCCAATTCTCTTTCTCCGGTACCACTGTGCCTCTTCTTAGTCTACACATAAGTGTTTTATTTGAGCAAAAGCATTTTATTCTTGTTGAATTCAAGTAATCTATTTAGCTTTTTGTGACATCATCTTCATTGTGTCTGGTTAAAAACTCACGCCCTGACTCTTTCACCCAATGCTCCTGCTTCTACCCCTGTATCTTTAAACAGTTAAATACAGAAAGAAGATCCCCATCTATCCAAATACTCATATTACTTCTTCTCTCTTGGTGATAGTTAAGAACTCCAGGCCGGGTGGGTTCTCATGAGGTGGGAAATGACTGAATAAATTGTGCTGTATGAAGGAATATTGTCCGATAAGCCATGATGAGTATGAAGATTTTGGAGAAACTTTGGAAGACTTGTATGAATTGATGCAGATCAAAAAATAATGAAATTTGAGAGTTGGAAGGGACCTCATTGCCCATCTATTACAACTCACAAACCCCTTAGACTGTGAGTTCCTAAAGAGCAGAGAGTGGTTTTTTGGGTTTTGTTTTTTTTTTTTGCCTTTCTTTGTTTTCTGTATATTTAGCACAGTGGCTGGAACATAGTAGGTCCTTAAATGCTTGTTGACCGGACTATAACATATATAGCATAATATAACGTAATTCCCACATATAAAATTACAAGTAGTCACCCGGCTTCTATTGGAAGACTCCCGAAGCAGGAGCACCCACTTCTCTTGAGACAGCCCGTTCCACTCTTGGACAGTTCTGATTGTTAGAATGTTCTTCCTGAGACCCTATTTTTGCCACTTCTTACTATCGTGTCCCTGGTTTTGTCCCAATCCCTCTTCCAGGGGACAGGCCTTCCAATACCAGCAGACACTTATCCCGTCACTCTTGAGTCTTCTTCAGTTTAGACAGACCCACTTCCTTTCCCTGATTCACATGATACTGATTCAGAGCCCTTCAGCAACCAGCATTATGGTTGCCCTCCTCAGGACACCCTCCAGCTTATCAATGACCTTCTTAAACTGTGACTTCCCAAGTGAAACTCTCTTTGCAAAAGGGCAGAGTATAGGGGTTTTTCCCTATCCCTGGAAGTTGTACCTTTCTTAATGCAGCCTAGGAACTCATTAGATTTTCTGGCTGCTATATCCCGTTGCCTGCTCCTGTTGGCTTCTCCTCCAATAAAACTCCAGATGTTTTAGAATGATGACTGTCTTACTATGCCTCCCCAGTCTTATGCCTGTGAAGTTGACTTTTTTGTATGTAGGTGTAAAACTTCAAGAACCTGCCGGACAAACTGCTTGTCAGGTAGTGAATAGGATAGACTCTCTTTGTGCTAAGTGAGGTCCCTTCCAAGTCTCACATTCCGTGGTTTTGTGGCTACATTCACCCCATTGAATTTCATATTACTGGTTTTGGTCTTCCAAAGACTAGAGGCAGAGCATTGGTGGATTGGAGGCTCCATATGAATCAACAATTGGATGTAATCATCAGAGAAAATAGTGGGATCTTCACGTGGGTTGTAAGAGGTATAACTTCCAGGAATGGAGAGTGATCATTCCAATGTCCTCAATGTGGAGGTAGGAGAGACTTGAGGTAGGGAGATTGTTAAAACCTGAACTAAGCTGATAGTCTTGTGAGCAGAGAGAAGGGGTGGTAATACCAATGTAACTGATGAATAAAGGGAATACCCTAGACAGAGGTTCCCTGGATTTCAGCAAAGGTGTTTTTTTTAAAGTAAATTTATATTGATATCTTTTGTTTTTTACATAACTGTAATTTCCCCTAGTATCCATTCCCCTCCCAAAGAGCCATCTCTTATAACAGTAGTATTTTTTTTAAGATAAAAAGAGAAAGTTGAAAAAAATCAGTATAACTAATATATCAAAAAATAAAATATATCAATAGCTCTTCTTTCCAGCCATGGAAAACATTTCTGTTTAATTGTGCAACATCCTTTTTTTCATTCGTTCTACCCATTTATATTATTGTCTATATTGTTTACTGTGTATATTTTGAGAGTATATAGTGTATATTGTTTTATTGACTCCACTTCACTGCATCAGTTCATGTAGATCTTTCCATGCCTCTCTGAATTCATCGCATTTTTTGATTTCTTGGAGAACAGTAATATTCCATTATGTTCATGTACCATAATTTGTTTAGCCATTCTCCAATCTATGAGAATCTATTTTGTTTCCAGATCTTTGCAATCACAAAAGGTGCTGCTATAAATATTTTGGTGTATGTGGGGACTTCCTATCAATGGCCTTCTTCAGACATAAACATAATCACTTTATTGGAATAATTCCAAATTGCTTTCCAAAATGGTCGTACTGATTTGCAGTTCCATCAACAATGCACCAGTGTGCCTATCTTCCCTAGCCCCTCCAACATTGACTATTTCCAACTTTTGTTATCTTTGCCAATTTACAGAGTGTGAAGTAAAGCCTCAGAACTGTTTTAATTTGCATTTCTGTTATTATTTGTGATTTAGAGAATTCTTTCATCTAGTTGTTAAGTTTGTAATTTTTTGAGAACTGTTTATATCCTTTGACTACTTATCTATTGGGGGATAGCTTTTGGTCATTTGCATATGCCCTTTCTTGTAAATCAGGACAATATTTTCCTTTCTCTAATCTTGTGTTTCCTCTCCCATTTTCTCTGATCTTTTAAACTGAATTTTTATTGGTGCCTTTTGTTTCTATATCGCTTACATTTCTCTTTGTATCACCCAACCCTTCCCAGAGAGCTATACCTTATATTATATAATAAAGAATAAAAAAGAGGGAAAAAAGATTAGTAAAATTAACCAACCTATAGAACAAGTCTTTATTATATACTCTATAGAGTGCTCTTTATTTTGCAGATTCTGTTCTTTTCCTATTTTGTGTGAATCAGGACAATATTTGCTATTATCTCAATGTCTGCTTCCTCTCCCATTTTTCATAAGCTTTCAGATAGCATTGACTATGAGTCATCAGTCACATTTGCCAACTCCCTTAGCCCACAAGCAGGTGGTTCATCTGGGCCAGATGATTTAAATTCACATTGACTTGAAGGCAGAACCAGGAGAGCAGAATACACAGTGCATATTATCTGAGGGAACTGTATTGGAAGAAGCATTGTGGACTTCTGGGAAAAGCTCAATGCTTCTGCCTAGACCATGAGAGGTTCTTGTCAAAGCTAGCCCTCCTCCTGAATAAGTCACTTCACCACTTAGTGCTCTGGAGGAACTTTCTAAGGCAATTATAACTATGGGAAAGGTACTGATCTGCATTGATAGAGGGGATTTTCTTGCCAGGGAGCTCCTTGTAGGAGCAAAATCACAGGCCAGTACCAATCCCTAGTCCTTGATCCTCACAACAAGACTATAAAGCCTGTGTTATTTTTTTGATGAGGATGAGGTTCCAAGTTTATCAATTAGTAGGAAAATATTAGCCTAGACCCCTAAATTGTGGCACTCAGAATGATTAGATGATAAACTAGAATCAAGTAGCTGGCTGATGCTTCACTAACTAGTGTGTGGTCTGCACAGACCTGATTATACTTGTAACATTTACAGACCTTGAAGGAAGCCAGAGATGTTACTGCCCTCAATTGATTTCATCAATTGTGCAATTTGGGAATTTTCAAGTAACATGGGTGATTCCCTTTGGGTTCAGTATGGAAGCTCATTTGTAAGGCTGACTTTGAGTGGCAAAGTTTTTTATAATATTGAGTTAGTATAAAGTGAGGTAACCAATAAATAAGCCCTCTACAAACAGTAAAAATGGAGTATTTAAAATCCTTAATGCTTTGAGAAACAGCGCCTTTCCATTCTGCCAACTTCACGTCTTCCTCATACTCCCCATGAGGGCTGGTCCCCAAGTGAGCAGGTGTCTTGTTTGCTGTTTCAGATACCACTGACGTTCCAAGATGTGGCTGTGGACTTCACCTGGGAGGAATGGGGGCTCTTGGAACCTTCTCAGAAGGACATGTACTGGGATGTGATGCTGGAGAACTACGAGAATTTCGTCTCCCTCGGTAAGGCCGGCTCTCCCCCAGCCAGATCATCAGCTTCCCTTGGGTTGTCTTTGCCTTTCCTCTTGGCTGACTGATGCCTGAAGTGTTTCCCTTCTCATGGAGGGATAATGTCCTGAATGCACCTGTCAGGGAGTGATTTCACAGTTGTTTGGTACCCAGGGTCACTGGTGTTTCTGCTCTGTCTGCTTAAGTGAAAGATGTTTGTGTACAATGGGACATCAGTAGTATTACTGGGCTTGCCCTAAGGCTACACTTCCACTACTGGCTGTTCATTCAGGTCAAAGAGTCTCCCCCAAAGACCCAGTATAGGGGCAGCTAGGTGGTGCAGTCGATAGAGCACCAGCCCTGGAGTCAGGAGGACTTGAGTTCAAATCCAGCCTCAGACACTTGTCACTTACTAGCTGTGTGACTCTGGGCAAGTCACTTAACCCCAATTGCTTCAAACAAACAAACAAAGACCCAGTGTAGATGCTGGAAGATATGAAAGGTTTGTATCTTCCTAGGAAAGATTGGGATGAAGTCATTTCCTCTGAGTCAGTGACCCATCCTCTAGGATTGAATTCTGGATTTTCTCTCTGATCTAAGCATTTATCATATATTTTTTATTAAGGTGGCCTTCCTATTTCCATACCAGATGTGATTTCCCAGATGGAAAGAATAGAAGCACCATGGGTGGCAGAGGGAGGAGTCCTGGTTAGCACTTTCCTAGGTGAGTGCATAAAAAATAAACAGATGGAAAACACAGTAAACATCATCCCAGCTGATGAGTAAAGATGTTGGACAGGGAGATTTCCTTAGGCCTTTCGAGAAGGGCTGCATCTTAGTGTGTGAGAGGAGTGAAGAGGGAAGGAAGACGTGTGACGTCCTCACAGAGCAGTAAGTTTTCTGTGAAACTGACATTGACAGCATTGTTGGCTTTGTGAGAGTGTTTTGGGCAAGGCAGTGAGGGCTTTCAAAAGCAATATGTTTTATCAGAAAGTAGACTGAATATATGCAACTTAGTGTTATCACTGGTAGTACTCTGAGAGTTCAAAAGAACAGGTAATTAAGGATGAGTGATTTGGTAAAGCTTTATTAAGAACTGGGTGACTATGCAGAGGGCCCAGCTGGAATTTGATTAGGTAGAGAGGAAAAGGAGGAGGCATTCTTGGCTGGGGAATTATCATGTGAAAGGCAGGCCAGGCAAGAGAGAAATTTGTTTGACTGGAGCAGAATATGCTTTCTGGGGTGCTTGCGCGACTTCCTTGAGGAATCGATTTATCCCATAACGTAAGTGCATTGGAGTAATACAGCAGTTTTTATTGTTTTTTGTTTTTTTTTAGGAGGGAAGTGGTGTGATGAATTTAATGCTGTGAGAAAGTTAACTTCACCTGAGAGAAACGGGGGCTTTTGGAACCTTCTCAGAAGGACATGTATTGGGATATGATGCTAGAGAAAATATTGTGAAGGTCTGACTAGAAGAGGGAAATGCTGCAAATATTTTTTGCTAATTACCTGTTTCCCTTCTAATTGTACCTGCATTGGTTTTGTTTGTACAAAAACTTATGTAATTAAAGTTGCCCATTTTATCTTCCCTGATTCTCTTTTTAATCCCTTGTTTGGTCATGAACTCTTCCCCCATCCATGTATAGGAAAAGTGATTTATTCCTGTCTCCTCAAATTTGTTTAGAACATGACCTTTTATATTTAATTTATGTATCCATTTGGAACTTATCTTGGTATAAAGTGTTCTAAACCTAGTTTCTGCTCAGACTGCTTTCTAGTTTTTCCAGCATAGTATTTCCCTCCTCCCCCTCCCAAACAGTGAGCTCTTCTCCAGCAGTTGAGGTATTTGGATCTACTAGGTTCATTTGCTTCTGTATGTTGCATATCTAATGTTTCACTGATTAACTTCTCTTTTTTGTAACCAGTATCATATAGTTTTGATGATTTTTGTTTTGTAGTATAGTTTGAGAACTGATATTGCTAGGCTCCCTTCCTTGCCACTTTTTAAATTTTCTCTTTAGATTTTTGAGCTTTTGTTCCTGCAGATAATATATATATTTTTTTCTAGCTCTTTAATCTTTTGGTAGTTCGACTGGTATGGCAAACACTTTATTACTAAGTGATTATTGGTTTGATAGGCCTTCCCCTGAATTTATCTGGAGATTACCTTGAAACTTATCAGTCTTTAGTTTACAAAATTAATCTGGTTCTTCTTTCTTAAGATGGAGACATTATCCCCAGCTATTATGAATCAGGATGTTCTGCTGACATTTAGAAATGCTTTCAGTACCCTGGAATGTAATTCTTTAAATCTTGGGCACTAATTACTCTGATACAATATTTCATTAATTAGGTTGGGCTTAAGTTTCTTGGTAACAATGACTGTTCAACTTTTTCCAGGTTAATTGTCATTGTCTTTGAAGGAAAAGACAATCTAAACTTAGTATAAGTCCCTTTGCTTTCTTCCACCACAGAGAATAATGGTTAAATAATGGTTTATATGTTTGTTTCAGGTTCCCTTAGTCAGAAGACAAGATGTGAAATCAAGGCACCAACTCGAAAGCAGGGTATTTTTGTGAGAGAAACATTCCAAGGAATACTTACAAAGGATGGCCCCTGGCAATCTACTTTGGAAGAAACTTGGGCTCACAATGTTGAGTTAGAGAGGCAGAAGGAAAATCAAGAGACACACTCTAGGGAGAAAAAAATCACTAATGAATCTTCTAGTGGATATACTATATTTGGGAGAAAGCTCATCCTGGAGTCAGTTGTCATTCCTCAACATAAAGTTCCTATAGTAGAAAGTCTCTATAAATGTGATGTACTTGGAAAGAATTTAAAACAGGTTTTAGATCCATTTAAATATAAGCGAATTTCCATTGGGAAGAAATTTTGTAAGGATAGTAAGTGCAAGAAGCCTTTCAATTACCAGTCAAATGTTATTCATTACCATAGAAAACATGCTAAAGGGAAACTCCATAAATGTAATGAATGTAATATAAACTTCAGCAGCATTTCATGCCTTACTGTTCATCAAAGAAATCACAGTGGGGTAAAACCCTATAGGTGTGATGATTGTGGGAAAGCCTTCAGCAAGAAAGGAATCCTTAATAAACATAAGATAATTCACACTAAAGAGAGACAATTGAAATGCAATACATGTGGGAGAACCTTCAGATACTACTCATGTCTTATGAGACATCAGAGAATGCATGCTAATGAGAAACCCTATAAATGTAATGAATGTGGGAAATGCTTTAGACAGAGGGGAATCCTGAAGACACATCAAATAAGTCATACTCGAGAAAACCATTTGGAATGTAATCTATGTGGGAAAGGCTTCAGATACCGTGCATCCCTTAGGGTACACAAGAAACTGCATAGTGGAGAAAAACCTTACATATGTAATGAATGTGGAAAAGCCTTTAGCCTCAAGGGAAACCTTAAAAGTCATGAGAGAATCCATACAGGTGAGATGTCTTTTGAATGTAATGAATGTGGAAGGGCATTTATCCTGAGGAGAGCTCTCAATAGACATAAGAGAGTTCATAGTGCAGAGAAACCCTACATATGTAATGAATGTGGGAAAGCCTTCAGGTGGTGTACAAACCTTAAAACACATAAGAGGACTCATACTGGAGAAAAACCCTATAAATGTGATGAATGTGGGAAAGCATACACTGATCATCAAAGTCTAATTCGTCATCAACTATTTCATGCTGGAGATAAAACCTTTCAATGTGATGAATGTGGGAAAGTCTTTACCCACAAGGCAAACCTTAAACGACATAAGAGGTCTCATTCTGGAGAAAAACCCTACATATGCAATCAGTGTGGGAAAGCTTTTATTGCAATGGAAAACCTTAAAAGACATATGAGAATTCATACTGGAGAGAAACCCTATAAATGTAATGATTGTGGGAA